GCGGACGTTGATGTAATTGTTCCTGTTGCGGAAGTGGTGAAATGGGCCGAAAGAAGGGCGACGGGGGTTGCTTTGCCGATGCACCGGGCGCCTAAGAGGTAGACATTTCTCGGCATTATCTGGTTTTTCTAGACACGGCGCGTCTTCTTTGGTTTGCCTCTGATGGTCTCGGACCGTGGCATGTATATGAGCTCATTTATCACTCGATTGAAACGTGTGCATATGCAAAGATGACTCGGCAGCTCCTTTGATGCACACCTTCCCCTGTCTTTCTTGTGCTCTTACCATTCTGCACTTTGCCAGGCGAACGTTCACAGACGGCCTCAGCAGGAAGTGCCAGTGGCTCTCCTGACTAGTTTTGAAATTCATGCGTTGAGAATGGCGAAGTCAAACGTGAACAGCCTTGTGATCACCCTTCAGGATTCAATCAGTCCTGATGATTGCGAGTGCTTCTATTCTGTATCAGATCTACCAGATAATTCGACTTTGAACCCACTAAGACAGATCAGGTCCGTCAGCAGCGTCTCAAACTCTATAAAGCCGACATACTCCTTCGGTTCATTAAAACGTCAGCTAATAGAGCAACGGCCAACGACCCACTGGATGATTCCATCTGAATCTCTTTCGCCGAATTTTTCGCCTCAGACATCCCAATAGCGACCCTCCAATGAAAGAAGAAGAGGATTTGAAGCAGACGAGGAGAGCACGATTGAGCTAGGATGGATAGATGGGCTCGATATCTAAGCAGTCATCTCAGGCAGGGCCTACCATTTCATACCTCGCGGGTCTGAAGTGATGACGGAGAAGGTCTGTATGGACGACGACAAATACCAAACAAAGCGAAACGCCATCTCGTCGGCTACCCGAGACCTCTGATCAATACATCTGAGTAATCTTGTCCCATTGTTTTTCAGCAGTTGTAGAAGTGTTCTCGACAGCATCGAATGCTGCAATGCGTTTATTGTATGCTTGAAAGCAGCTTTGATGTACGATGACACTACCGTCGAGGCTTGAAGGTTCCCGTTGCGTGTGAGAATGATGGGGCTGGTATTTCGATGGTATTGTGTAGGGATTAGACGAGAAGAAGCAGCTTGTCGCTTCATCGGCAGCGCTTTGGGTCGCCTGGAGCAGCAGGCGGAGGTTGTAGCTGTATACGAGATTGGGGTTGCGCCCAGAGTCAATTCAGGTCAGGGGCCTTGGGTTTCAGACGCCGGGTTGGCGGGGAAAGGGTGCTGCCGCTGCTATTCACGAGTGTAGTCATGTCCGGGAAGAACATCGTTGTGCAGGTGCTTGCGACGACCTGGGGAACTTTTGTTGTAAAATTTATCTATAGGGTAGGTTTTCATCACTCCTTGGTGTAATAAGCGTGGAGAAGCCTTCTCCACCGCTTCCATCACTCCCCCCAAATGGTGTCAATTCGACTGCCCGCTCTGCTTCCTTGTCGTTGAGAGCGGAGCTGCTGAGGTGCTATGTACTCGCCATTCAGCTGGTGTCTTCACGCCTATGTCTTACGTCTCCCACTTAGCCCCCAGAGGGATTTCTAGAATGCCGGAACGCTCTTGGGGCAGCCATGGCATCCGAGTTTCTCGATTCGAGGCATGCGGCATACTTAATTCGGGCTCGAGGTCCAGGGGCGGTGTGTGGCGCTTAATTTGCCAGTAGACCAAGAGGATCATGCTAGACTAATCATGGGTGCTGGCTGCTGGCTGCTCGGCCGCGTCTGCTTACGTGACGTTGGATGATAAGGCACATGAAAATGCTACCTAATCATGCCTGGCCAGTCCTCTCAACTGTCCTGAAAGTTAGCACTTGGCGGATCCCGATCCAGCATGTACGCAAACTTCTGCCGATTCCCCTCTTGCAACAGGTACCTCGGCACATCCATGTTATCGTCCACGCGATCAAATACCTCCGTCTCCCTCTCAAAGAGATCTTCCCCTTTCCTGACCCTTTGTAGCAGCCTCTGCGGGTCAAGGATATATGGATCGTTGTACCCTTTGTGCGAGAAGGACTCAATCTTATTCACCAAATGCTTCATCGTCTGCATACACGAACTGCAATGCCATGCCGCGTTGTAGAGCTCCACGTGCGGCTTTCCGGTGCGCAGGTCCTCCGGTTTGATGGTATCTTTGAGGCCGTTGAAGAAGGTTGCTTGGGGATGAGCCCATTGCTCGCCGCGGTGGAGCCATTGGAAGCTGTAGTAATAGAAGTGACTCCGAAGGGTGACTCGAGGTGGGAAGGCGCAGTTGCGAAGTGTGACAAGGGTGCTGGGACGGGGAATCTCGTCGATGTCGCCGATGACGAGGACGTCACCTTGGGTAGGAGCTTGTTCGCCGGACAGGGAGGTGAGGGCTTGGGTGAAGAGGGCGTTGCGAGTGAAGCGTTCGTGCTCCCAGGTATCACCTGCGGGAAGAGATGAGTCGGTGAAGTTCACGATGCGGTGGATGATCTTGGAGTGGAAGGGCTCGAATTTGGAGTAGTTGTTCTCGAAGTGTAGAGGTTTGGGATTTTCCTGGAATGTGGTGTCCGATTCCAGGATGACGAAGTAATCAACTTCCTCCTTTAGATCGTTCAGACGGATCTCTAACCAATCGAGCTCGGTATTGATGAGGAAGAGATCGTAGACCTTTCGGCGTTGAGCCCGGGTTTCGTAGATGTCTAAACGGCGTCTTTGGCAGAAAGTTGAGGCATCTTGGAGTGAGAGGAAACCGAGACTCGGGTCGGCTTCGATCAATGCCGTGTATGGTCCCTTGTAAGGGACATTGCTTTTGTCCTCGTGATACCAGTAGGAGTCGCGTGCTACGTAGGATAGGGCGTAGAGGAGGATCAGAGCCGCAAGCAGTCCGAGGATTTGGCGCTTTAGCATGGAGAGCCTCATTGATCACATCGTACTTGCGACTTTTTCGGAGAGAGAGCCTCTTGGGGGCTGCTGAGGAGGTCGGCAAGAGGGATGTGTCTCGTGATGCGTTCAAACAATCACCAAATGTTAAACGATAAAGTACTTTAATGTTTCAAATTTCAGATCTGCGCTATTTTTAGGTATCAAACGCGGCTGCCGCTTTTAGGGTGACTAGCATGATTCAGCCTAGGAGCCTGGGAGTGCTCCATCCCCGTATTCTTTAATTCTTCAATCTCATCGTACCTACATCATGCTGATCAGCAGAATGCCACGTCCTGTTGTAGACCTTGCTTTCTATGTGCTAACAGCAAGAAAGATTTTGAGAGGCTCCCAACTTGAAAAAGCACCGGCTCGGACCAGAGTTAGCTGGCTCCCTGAACGCAAGTATCTAGTAAGCTGGAGCATTTTCTCTACCACGCAAATGCTGAGATAGCCACGTCTCTATAGGTACATGTATGGTGATAGAGCACCGAGTTCAAAATCAGGCTTCCAAATCCCACTTATGACATCGGTTGAAATGAAAGCCTTGGTCAACTACGGACCTCTCCGATCCAGGGAGACAGCCCCAATGATCGTATAATTGGGAATTCAAGATATGGTAGCAGTACGAGAATGGAGTTCTTGGGGTTATTGATCGAATGCTGGTGGTTTTGCTAAACCGAAGTGACCCTCATGTGAATATGTCGGTAACCTTTTTTCGCTCAAAGCATCGGTACATGATTGGCGGATAAAAAACTTCCGCTCCCATCCCTGGTGTACACGACATCGCAGACACAACAATTTTACTGCCTTTTCATCTGGATTAGGAAGGACCAGCATCTCGAAGGAAGGACACATCTCTCTGAATCTTGGGAGTTGTAGGGTGGGGAAAGATTGGGAGTATATTCGGTGGTGGGAGTATGGGGAGAAGGAAGAGGTGATGAATCCGCCGGGCGGGAGACTTGATGGGAGATGGGAGGATGGTGGAGAAATAGAAGGAACCAATGCGGTACGGTCCAGAGGTAGAAGGATGACTGGTCTATGTAAGACTGGTGAGTGGCCCAGATACTACTCGTAGCCAAGGGGCCCATTAATCATGCTGGCTAGGCAGCCCCACTCAACTGGTGGCGTATCGTTACTCGAAGAAACCGCATCCAGGCGTACACTTCGATATAGACCGCCTTTCTAATATTGACTTCTGGTGTGTTGAGTAGGTCATTGAAATGGGTCGGATAGAGACAAAGCACCGACTTCGGCGGGCGATGTTTCATCAACAATTTTCATCCCTGTCCTTCGCACAGCTTCAGCCACGCTAATATCTCGGACTACCTTACGAGTCTACGAAATCAACATGGCACATCTTGCCGCCAATTGGAGCTTGTTTTATGGAAAATTGATGGCGACGGGCGGGGATCACTCGGTAAAGCTCAGGGCCCATTCTTGGTATACCTCGAATTACAGCCCTACTATCATCTCTTTACTCTATACGAGTAAAGTCGCGATAGGGCCGTTCAATGGCAGGTCATAGACTTTGCTCTTCACGAGGTTATTTACCGTTTACGCAAGAGGCGTTCGCGATGCCTAGATATAAGGGGCCTCGTGTCTCAATTCTTGTCTCATTCCACCCGAGTTCATCAAGAATTTAAGCGTTACTGTCTCTTTGCGTATATCATTGGTTGCATTCGCTTTCCATGGCCAAGTCACGCTTCCTGAGCTTCTAACCTGCCAGTATGTTGTCGGAAAGGGAAAGTATCGCCATCGCCGAACTCGCAGTCTACATACCCTCCATCGCTCTCGCCATCGGCATCATTTTCAGGCATGGCTTCTCCAAAGGCAGACCGTGAATCTACCTCATCCTTTTCTGCGGGCTGCGCATAGCAAGCGCAATCTTGGAGATCCTCAGCGCCAAGAATCCGGCAAATCGTGACGACGCTACCTGGACCGCCATCCTTGGCTCTATTGGACTCAGTCCTTTATTTCTGGTCGCTTCAGGTCTGCTGAGAAGGGTGTACGTCTACCTTGCTTGAGTTTGGCCATCGAGCTAACATCATGCGACAGCAATGACTTCATCGCCCGTGGCACTTCCCGTACTCGTCTTCTTGAGATGTTTCACATACCGATCATGCTTGCTCTGATCCTCTCTATCGTTGGCGGCACTCGGATCTCGTCGTCCGACACATCCAAACACAACTCCGAAGAAACATTCGAAAAGGCCGGTGCCATCATATTCCTGATCTCTTATGTTGTTATTGTGGCATTCGCCATGCTCGCCATGGCCGAGTCGCGCGACCTCCCACGGGGCGAGAAGTGCATCTTATACGCGGTCCTTGTCTCGCTTCCTTTCCTTGCCGTCCGCCTTCTCTACAGTCTTCTCGCAGACTTTGAAGATAACAACACGTTCTATACCGTCGGTGGGAACGCAATAGTCCAGCTATGTATGGCTATCATCGAAGAACTCCTCGTCACCCTTTTCTTCCTCGTTGCGGATCTCGTGGCCCCTGCGCTGGACAGTTTGGTCAATGGAGCTGGTGGTATTCCCATGAACAGCTACAGTGTTGGAAAAGGCGTTGCGTAAGGCACTTCAGTAGCTCCTAATGGCGACTAGGGGTGAGTCGCGCTCATGTGAAGACTATGAAAGTGCTGCCGAGTTGACGGTCTGCTCTGAGACGCAGGTCGTGCAAGGATGAGTTGGAAGAAGGCCGGATGTCGGAATGGCCGCGTTTGCAGAATCTTGCACCTGTCCAAGATCAAAGCTTTGACGATCCGAGCATTCGGCCGATGCATGCGAACAACGCCTATGTGCTTGATCGGAGTGCAACTCGAGAAACCACCAGACTGACGGAAAGCAGCAAATCTGCGCACGTTCATGTTCAACGTGCTGTGAGCAGGGCTCATCCATTCGCAAAAGATGAAAAAGCGTGACGCACCGGCGGCGGTATCCATTGCTCAAATGCCATTTTGGTCTCATACATGCGGTCTTGCTGCCATTTGGTGCACGACAAGTGAATATATTCCCGTGATTACGAATCTTACCTACTTCTTTTCAGTACCACGTCAAAATGCGCTCCTTTCCTTGTGGGATTTTCTTGTCCACAGTCTAATGCAAAGCTCCACATGCAACTGGAGTTCCCAGTTACTCCAAACTCGAAGGCTTGCATATGGACCGGGCCCTCATCCGAATAAGCCCGAACAGGCTAAAATGCTAAGTATCTAGGCTGCGGGCTGACGTCTTACCCCACAAAATACAATAAAATCAATGTCATCTTATTGCGGGGTTGCCGCATGGGCATGGATTCCTCACCACCAAAAGAAAAAGTTGACATCCAGCTTCCTTTATAAGTTAAATGCTCACCTGTGCCTAGCTTTGGCCGAGTTGATTTTACATCATGCGCAACGTGCGGGAGGGTCCGAGTGCGCCCTGCGGTATTGTCTATAAGATGGCAAGGCAGCCTTTCCCCACTGTTCTCTGTCTAGAGCTTTCAAAATGGCCATTCCTAACCTTTTTGCCGCCTTGTTCTTTGTGGTCGGCATTTTATCGCAAAAGATTATCGACTTGAGCGGAAGCGATTGGACATTGGAAAACTTGCCCCTGAATATCAGTGTGCCTGGATCGGTGCCTTCACAAGCGCATTTGGACCTTTACGCTGCTCAGGTCATCGGTGATCCGTACGCTAAGCTAAACCGATTCATGTCGCTAGAGCTGACTGGCAGAAAGATACTACGGCTTGAACGACTTTAATTTGCGTTGGATAGCCAATAGTAATTGGACATATAGCGCTTTGCTGTCGGGATTGTGAGTAACAAGCACGCTCAGACGGTGGAAGAAGCTGGCATTAATCCCGAATAGACGTACGGCTAGCAGTACACAGACATGGCTTCTCTTCAACGGCCTGGATACCTTCACCAGTATCGAATTCTGCGGGCAGCCCGTAGCCTCCACCAACAACCAGTTCCGCCAATACTATTTCGACGTCTCAACCTTGCTGAGTAATTGTACTTCACCGATTCTCAGCATCAACTTCGGCAGCGCTCCGATGATAGCCGATCAAATCGCTGCCGAGCCAGGCCAGGAGACGTGGCCATACGGTGTTGAAATCATCTACGAATTCCCAAACAGGCAGTTCATCCGCAAGGAGCAATCGGATTTCGGATGGGATTGGGGACCTGCTTTTGCTCCGGCTGGCATTTGGCAGCCGGCATATGTCATACAGCTCTCTTCCTCGCCCAATGCATCCTCGGATATCTATGTCAGGAATTCTGATTACGATATCGCTCGTGTGGGTCAAATGAACAACATTCCTCCGGATCAAAGCGCACCTTGGCTTTTGAATGCAAGTCTAGACGTTTTGGGCAATTTGCCTCAGGGTGCTGCACTTAACTATGTTATTGCCAATTCGATCACGAACCAGACTGTGTCTTCGGGTACTTTGAACAATGTGACCAGCTCCAATAGCACCATCACAGGTACTGCCGTGCTTGATCCTTCACTATACGAATTATGGTGGCCTCGTGGACTGGGTCCTCAAAATCTCTACAATCTCACTGTCAGTATTGTCGACAGCAGTAACAACACATTGGCGTCGATCAACAGGCGTACAGGTTTCCGTACCATCGTAAGTCCTTCCGGAAAGGCGACCAAAGAAGAGTCATTCTAACGGCGGCAAGGTTCTCAATATGCAAGTAATTTCGGACGAGCAGATAGCGCAGGGTATCGCTCCCGGAAACAATTGGTGAGGATACCACATTTTTGTTCTAGTTGGATCGCTTAGGAACTACTCACTTAGCAACTACTCAGGCATTTCGAAATCAACGGCCACGAATTCTACGCCAAAGGCTCGAACTTGATCCCTCCAGATGCCTTCTGGCCACGAGTGACTTCCACGAAAATACAGCAACTATTCGATTCTGTGACAGCTGCTAATCAGAACATGCTACGCGTTTGGGCAAGCGGAGCTTATACGCCAGATTTTATCTATGATATGGCTGATCAGGAAGGTATCTTGATGTGGTCGGAGTTTGAATTTGGTGATGCGCTGTATCCGGTCGATCAGGAGTTCATTGACAATGTCATCGAGGAAGCGACGTACAATGTGAGAAGAGCGAATCATCATCCATCGCTGGCATTGTGGGCTGGAGGTAAGCAACCAAGGCTGCCCCCCCCGTATGCTCCACGTTCTTCATGGTCGTAGCATTGCAACCAGTCTGACATGCACTGCGCTGACCTTGTAATCAGGCAATGAGTTGGAGTCGCTGGAGCTAAGTACTGTGAACAATACCGCTCCTGACCAATACGACACCTACTTGGCACAGTACGAGCGACTCTTTTTAGACACACTTCTGCCGATAGTATATGCAAACTCCAAGAGCATTAGCTATATTCCCAGCAGTACCACTAATGGCTACCTCGAATTGAACTTTTCCTTGCCCGAGCCGATGATCGAACGATATAACAACAAGACTCCTGGATCAGTGTATGGAGACACAGGTCAGTAACCGTCATCTTGTTTTGCTCTTGTCACGAAAAATCAGCTGAACCGACGTCCTTTAGATTACTACAATTATGACTCTTCCATCGCATTCAACTACTCTTCATACCCAGTCGGCAGGTTCGCAAACGAGTTCGGCTACCATTCTATGCCCTCTCTACAGACTTGGCAGCAAGCAGTGTCGCCGGCAGATCTTCACTTTAACTCCACAACAATTGTGCTTCGGAACCACCATAATCCGCCCGGTGGCTTGAACACAAGCAATTTCGCAAATAGTTCGGAGGGAATGGGCCAAATGACTATTGCAGCACAGAGATGGTATCCAGTAAGACCTTGATGCTGCACTCAAGTAGTCCTCGGTTAATGGTCCTCAGGTTCCAAATAAGACCGACAGCGTTGCAAACTTCTCTGCTTGGTGCCACACAACTCAGATCTTTCAGGCCGACTTCTACAAGTCCGAAATCCAATTCTACAGGCGCGGCAGTGGGTTTCCGAACCGGCAGCTAGGGTCCCTTTATTGGCAACTGGAGGATATCTGGCAGGCACCCTCATGGGCTGGCATCGAGTATGATGGTAAGTCGCCCGCGAATTCATCCTCTGGAATCTGAACTGATCTGATCACGGCGCCAGGCCGATGGAAAGTCCTCCACTACACAGCCAAGGACATCTACCAACCCGTCATCATCTCCCCCTTCTACAACACCACAACCGGCGACTTGGAAATCTACGTCACCTCCGATCTGTGGTCCCCCACAACCGGCATCGCTACCTTCGAATGGTACCGCTGGGACGGCACACCCATCACGAACATCAGCACACCATCGACCAATTTCACCGTCGGCGCACTCAACACCACGCGCGTGCTCAAGACTACCCTCGACAACTCGACCCTCGACTTCAACAACGCCCTCCTTTACATGAACGTCACGGCCACTGGCCGCCTTCCGAATACAGACACCACAACGACGATCTTCACCCATGAGAACTTCTTCCACCCTTCCTCGCTCGCGCATGCCGAATTGGTCGATCCGGGCCTTGTATCATCATACGATAACACGACAGAGCGCTTCACGCTCGAGGCTACGACGGGCATCGCGGCGTGGACGTGGCTGGATTACCCCGCGGGGGCACTGCTCAATTTCGAGAAGAATGGCTTTTGGCTCCTGCCCGGGCGGAAGAGGGAGGTGGGGTACGCGTTGAAGAGCGATGGGACGGGGGGTCAGTGGGTGGCTGCGGTTACGGTGGAGAGTTTGTGGAACAACACGTTGGCTTATTAGATGGAATGGTTGGGGCGGGTGGGTTGGATGGGACTGAGATGAGTTGTGTGGGGGGTTGCTGAAGCGTCGGGATTACTAGTCATGGTACGGAACGGCCGTCGAGGTCCCGGCTTCCTGAATACACGGGTTGCACCACAGCGCGCGGCAACTTTTCCGTAGAATCGATCACAAGTCCTACTCGCTCCGTATCCCAACCCGAGTCCGAATCACCCGCTCGAACATCACCTCGCCTCTAATCCCATCCTTCCGCCCCAAAAAGCTTTCCCCAACCCAATCGCCATTCCGAACACCCCCCCTCCTCACCGTCCCTCTCGACGTCACAACCCTGTCCGAGATCTATAGTTTGCTTATCTGCATCTTGTCCACCTACTCGCAAATGGTTGGTTGGTTGGTTGGTTGAATGAATGGATGGATGGATGAGTCTGCACGCGACATCTATAACAAGCGTGTCGTCGTCCCCGAAACACAAACACACACACAAAACTCGCGTGACTCGGCCCAAGAGTGCGGAAGTCGGTCCTCGGTTCACGGGCTCGTCCGTGGACTTTTGGCGCCGATGCCTTCGGAGAGAGAGAGAGAGCGTTCACGTCTTCCAACACAGCCGCCTGGCTTCCTCGATGCCGGATCCGTCGCGCGTGAGACGTGTCCCGATTTCGGTCTTCGGCTTCGTACGTTGCGGTCGCGGATTTTTCCCGGCGATGGTCTCGGTGGTTGATCGGGGGGGTTTTTTTTCCTTCGGGGTGGCTGGGTGTGGCCGGGATTGAATGAATGATTGCTTTGCTTTGCTAGGTGGGCCTTTCGGTCCGTGGCGCGGCGGCATTTTCGTCGATGCCGACGGGTCCTGTGCTTGAGTCGCGCGCTCCCTGAGCGGCTAGGGAGACGGGTTTTTCGGGGTCCGAAGCCCGCTTCCTACAACTGTTGCATGGAGCGCCGTTCAGCGTGCTCGCCGGGCGAGGGGATCGATTCTTGGATGCCGTTCCGACGTGCCCGTTGAGGGTGGAGCGCTTAGGGCCGGGTGATGTCACGGGATCGTGAAAGTGTTTCGTTGGACGGGTTGGGATCTTCGTAGGAGGTTTCGCGTGAGAGACGGAGCTGGGGATTGGGTTCGACGGGGGTCGTGAGGCGGTTCTTATGTGATGTGTAAGATGGACTGGAGTCGAGTGGGGCTGAAGTCGTTCGTCTCTGTAGTGACGATGGGAAATCCTGGTGGATCGGTTTGGGTGTTGTGTTCGTAAGCGTGCATTAGCGTGCTATGGCTCGGTCGACAGACGGCCGGGAAAGGGGCTGTCGAGGTATGTATTCTAGAGTCGTGGCAGCTGATCCAATCCGAAAGCCTCGGCCTCGCGCCCATGACGGTGCGAAGATGCGAGGAAACGCGGAAGCGGATGGCGCCACGTCTTGAGGATAGGTGACATGCTTGAAGGTTTAGCAGGCTGTCAATCAATCAATCAATCCATGCATGCAAGTGGACTAGAGCCGTAGTTAGTCGATGGATCTTCAGAATGAGAGTTCCCCTTCCGCCAAAAGGTTTGATCGCGCGGTGGAGGACGTGCGGCAGGCTCGTTTCTTTTTATACATCGTTGATGCGTGATGAGGATTTGAGAAGTCGGATCGTGGCGGTGGCTTGTTATGGGGGTATGGCGACGTGGGGAGAGGAAGGGTCATTGGGGGAGGGATTTTCGATGACGAGTGAGGAGTTGGCGAGGAGGTATAGGGGTGTTGTTGGGGCTTTTGGGAGGGTGAGGTTTTGGGGAGGAGGTGGGGTACTTGAGGGGGCATCCGGGGTAGATTTGAGTCTTGGAGATGTGGTAGCGACGGATCTGATCGGTGAGGATCATCTGCTGAAGAATGACCAACGGTCAACAAAGTAATTCTTTCTGTGCAATGCAGAGAAATGATGAGACGGGTCTTGAGTTCGAAAGATAAAAGAGACATTGTCCTCGCAGGCGTAGGTACGAGTTCTGCTGCGTTGAGTACAGATATTCCAGTGTCCTAGCAAGATGGGTTCTCGTTGTATTGGCACAATGAATGAAAAAACTTGAGGTTTTGCAATGCGATAGTTATTTAAAAGGCAAACGGAACACACGCCAAAGTCCTGACCCGCTGACTGTAAGGTTGTAATGTTTGGGTAGATAGTGCCATTACTATCTTCCTTGTAGCTTCAATTGCTGTTCACTGACGATGAGTTGCAAGTGGGGAATTTGAAGCCCGGCTTTGGGGGGACTTGTACCCTAAAACCCACCTAACTTTAGGGACCAGCCTCCGAAGCCGGGTGATCGACGCCTGAAAGGTCCCCTGGTCCCTATAATCCTTACACCTGAACCAAGAACCCTGCCAGAACATGGGATAGACCTTCCTCTGTGTGCATATATACATGTTGCACTCCGATAGTCTTTGGCCAGGCGCTATGAGACATAACAGCCTGACCGTCACACATACCATCATTAGGTAGCAGTACAAGTAGGAGAGGTGGTCGTAATCGTAGGCATGACAGTATAACCACATGGGTCATTTCCCGCCATGATCGGATACAGAGGAGCCTCATTGTTGCAATAGCACCAGCCAGGATCGTACTGATCAGGGCAAGCGTCGGGATCAGCACCATGGTAGCAGGAGGCGCTCGGTGCCGGAGGCGATGCGGATGTTGGACAAGGTGTTGTAGAAGGTTGATGCGTTCCATCCCCCTTCGAGTTCCACGGATTCTGGAACTGGCCCCCCCAGTCCACTGCTTCGTCACAAGATGCATCGCCAATTTGGTTCCCTGACGCCCTGGGATTAGCAAGCCGACTAGCGGACTGGACGTTGGGCTTCTGGTTTCACTTGCCAAAGGCATCGTATAGATAACCATCACTGTTGTAGTAGACATCGCCGTAGTCTTCGGGAAACGGAAATACACCTTTGCATGTGGGCTCTCCAGTGGCCATTTGCTTGCTGTATTTGAAACCGTCGAAAATCGTGACGGTATCGCAGTCTTTACAATCGTATGGATTGAGGGCTTCTGGAGCGCCGTCGTCGCTGGTGCCGCATGCGCTTGCGAGGCTGATGCCGCAGATGGGGATGGCAGCGGGGAAGCCGCCGACCATGTTTTTGGGATCGTACAGGTCGATGCAGTGGCCGTCTTCGATGTGCTGGTGGGCTGTTTAGCGGTGACTTTGATTGGAAGGAAGAAAGCGATACGTACTATGTACACTGCTGCGCCTATGTTCGCGAACAAGAGGACAAGGTAGGATATGGCGAAATCCATGATGGCAATTTACTGTTATTCGTGCTCGGGCTGACGAAGTCTTTTGTCAAGCAAAAGCTCCACTCAGGCGGGGGCCCGCAGTATTTTGTATACGAACATACCCTCTCTCTATATGCCTGGCATGCCGTCACTGGGACGCAGGTGGGGTCAAGTCTGTGTGCCTGGGGAAAGCCCAGCGTTGGAGGTGAGGGTTAAACATGAAGCTATCCGAGTAGTCTCCATCTCTAATGGTTCATGTACTAGTACAGCATACGAACTTACGAAGGATAGGGTCAAAGGTAGCGAGGCTCGGTCGAAGTCATCTCCATGGTGAGGTACGGTAAGAGCGAAAGAGACCAATCTGTAACATAGATGGACTGTTGAGGAGATTCTCAACCTCCTATAGAGAAAGACGTGTTGGCTTGGCGGAGTCGTAAACTCGATAGAACGCCTCGGACAAAGCCAAGCCTTACTAAGTAAGGAAAGGTTGACTTCAAAAAAAAAGGGGGCAGGTCTGCCGAGTGTGCAACTCCCCCAGCTCACCTACTCATAGGAAGCAGCAGCTCCAAGTTTCTTTGCCCACCAGTCCACAACGCAGCTGATGTTTACTAGGGCAGAGTTGGACTGTTCATGAAAGATCAAGGGCTAGCAATACTTGTAACAGCATGCCGGTATGGTCTGACGTTGCAAAAGCCGTGTGAACAGCCAGTCAGCCACACGGTCGGCATCCAATACAGCGCAGCATCACCTTCCTCATGCTACAACCAGTTGGAATAGCATGGGCCTAGCACCCACAGGGCTAGATTCTATCAGCAATACAATCCTACATCGCTTCCTCGCCCTCACTCCCTTCAAGATGTGTAGATATTTCCGCCCACAGCGGGGCACCGTCCTCTTCATCTCTCGCAAGCATCAAGGCCGGATACTTTCCCGATGTCATCGAGGCACATACGTCACAATCCATCGCCCAGCACATGTCGAACACGATTCCGAACGTCTATTGTGCACCCAGGCGTAAAGAGTTGACCTACATCGTGATGGAGACGCTAGAGGGGGAAACGGTGGACCATCGGTGGAAGCTGCGTACGAAAGACTCAAGAGCCCAAACATTGGACCAGCTGAAGGACATGATGCTGGAATGCGAAGTACCCCTCCTCCGCGAAGTAAGGGAGTCGCCAGTGTGTACGGTGGGACCATGAATGCCGGCTCTCTAGGCCAGCTACTGGGATTCGCTTTGGAATATCCAAAGATATCTCGAAATGTCATCTGTTGCTCAGAGCAGGTTGCGAGAAGCACAATCATCCTGACGCCCGTCAGCCCATCGTCATGCCCGAGCAAGTTGCATGGCCTATTTGTGCTACGCACATGGAGATGATATCGTTGGCATAGTCGAGTGGGAAACAGCAGGATGGTTTCCGTCGTACTAGGAATACACAACGGCGAGGAACGTCAAATCTCTTCTGGCGAGAATAAGTAGATGGCTTTCTAGAGCCACAACCCAAGGCATTGGCTATGGGAAAGCTCCGTGAAATATGCTTTGGAGAATTAGGTGCGTAAATGACCCGCAGATGTTCTACTCATGGGCAATGATTCGCTTAAATATACGCACAATATGTGCGAGACGTGGGAACTCCGAAAATCAGCTCCCGAGCTCAAGCAAGTCAAACGTCGCCACCGTCAAGTCAGAAAGGGTTCTTTCCACCGAAGCAATAGTGGGCCTTCTCATTCTACCTACACCGTCTTGGCGTAAGGGTCGGCTGAGTGGATAGTGTCAGCGCTTAGCATAGCACAACATTAGTCTAGGTCCTCGGCCAGCGAGGACATTCGACCCTGATATCCTCATGAATCATCGAGAAAGCCTCGAAACTCTTGAGCGTCTGCACTACTACGTGGTGACTTAGGCTGAGCATCAAGCCGCGAGCAGGTCGTGCTGTGTGAGCTTTTTGTAAAGTAGTCCATGTCTCAGCTTCAATACCATTCATCAGCCATCAGCGGCGAGGACAATCTCAATGCGTTCAATTTTGAGGTCCCCAGCCGCAAATCTCGGCAGGAGTATGCCACTAGAAAATGGTACTCCTCAGTCATTGGGATACTCGTCTGCTATGTGCATCCAATACGAAATCTTGCGACTCGAGCACATCTGCCCACTCAACAGTTCAACAGCTTTACCATCCACCAATGGAACGGTCTCACGCACTTTCCGATTTTCCGTCGGCCCCTGCCTTAACCCACGTCGCGGTGCAGTGGGTTCTCGTTTGCTTGGCAAAATCATCAAAACCCCCTAGTCTTCGCAAAGACATAATTTTCGAGAATGAAATTTCAGAACAGGATATTTGGTTGTAAAGTCTTCAATCAACTCACGAATAACGATTGCGCCATTGAACAGTTCTTCGTAACTTCATTCGTTGTTGAGTTGTGTGATGTTGTTTCAAGAAGGGATTTTGGTAGCCCAATCTTGTACCCCTGCGGCGAGAACCCTGTCAGGATAAGTGATACTTTTCTTGAAAAAGAAGGTGGGAGCTGAAGAGGTTAAAATGTTGCCTTTTTAGCCTCTAAAGATGCTTCCTCAACCAGGCTGAATGTAACACATTTCCAGATCTCTTTGATGCCAGAATCCGCCGTTGGAACCGTCAAAGCAAGACCGAAAGCGTGTTACTCATCAGGGTCTTGTGCATACTTCGACTGACTGCTGAGGGCCCGGTGGATTCGAACGCATCACCAAGTAGTGCTTTGCTCTCACCCAGCCATTTTTGTGCTGCACCCTGAGATCTGGTCTTTGAGCACGACGAGTGGCGCTGCGATCTTGCGGCCGGACTAAATTTCGACCACCAGATCTGGCGTGTCAGAGTGGTCAGAGTCGAGGCCGTCCAAGCAGTGAGCAGTGTTTGGACCAAGACCTTGGCATCATACAAAAAGGATCTTCCTCGGAAGGACCTTATTGTCGTGGAAGGAATCACCTCGCCAACAGATATCGCCAATCACATTAAGGATTTAGAGGCCAAAACACATACCGGCAGAAATGGTGGGTTTGCAGACTGTTTCCATGCCATCGCTAGCCTTCTCACCCAGACCAGCAACGTGATCGACGTCGTGATATCCAGCAATGTCGAAGCTTCTCTTATCTAGGGCAGCTTGAAACTTCTGCTCACGATCGTGCATCAGTCAGCGGAAGAATATGTAAAGATCTGTCAAAGTGTTCTTGCAGTCAGCGATTCCTGTCCAATTGTTGATTTAGTAGCCGAAACGTTCAACAACTCCGAACTCATATGTAGCCACGTTGTGGCTTTTTATAAATCCGTTCTCAAATTCTGGAGCAATGCTTTGAAGTTCTACAAGAGAAGAAAAGTGTTCAACATTTTCCGTGTATGGCATGATTTTGAGTCAGAATTTGGGGATCTTGATCGCGATATGAAGCGGCACGGGAGAGCTATTGAAAAATCAGCGGCTACAGTCCACATGAACGAGTCCAGAATTTCTAGACGTGAGCAGACGGCTGTCAACCGTGAGTTTATGGAGGCCAAACGGTCTGCCGTGACGTCGTGGGTCCTCCTTTGTGGTCATGGGCCCGAGTGGCGAGAGTCATTTTGAGGGCGGAAAGTGATTGGGGTTTCCTCCATATCATTTTCTTGGCTTGGGTCTTGCGGAACAATGAATTAAGCCGACGTGGATAATTGCACAGAGACCGCCACAGAGATATCGTAAATTGGCTTGCTCCTTTCAATCACGAAGCAAGCTACTTTGCGGACGACCTCCGGTGGTCGTACGACTCACGCCATCCTGGCACTTGCGCGCGTAGATCCTTGATAGACCAGAGTTCGAAGCGTGGATGAACTCGGGTCTGAACGACGCTGCCGCACGGATGCTGTGGTTGACCAGAATTCCGGGAGCGGGGAAGACTGTACTTTCGTCCTTCGTGATCAACAGGTGCTCTGAGGTCTCTTGCAAGAAGCCTTCGGCACCGATCCTTTACTTCTTCTTCAAAACAGCGACAAAAACTCGGTCCTTGCAGTCACACGTTCGCTTCTTTATCAGCTTTGTTCATTGTTCCCCGCCAGTCTGTCTGCAGATATCGTTTCGCCGAGGAACAGTAGCGGAGAAAGATCCCATGTCAAGAGCTAAGCTAATTTGACCATTGTCCTGGACGCGTCGGATGAGTGTGATGAAGTGGATATACTCCTTGGACGTATGATACCTTTGTTGCAGTGCTGCCGCGCTAATATATTGGTCATCAGCCGGACAGAGGAGAACATTACTCTCGCCCTGGAGGAGTACCATAGTATCATCATTGGCCACAAAGCTATCGAAGCCGATATTCACTCCTATATCACGGCAGAGTTCGAAAGAAGTCCGAGATTTTGAGGCAAATCGATTCAAGAGAGAATGATCAGTGCTCTCTCATCAAGACGCGGTGGAATGTTTCTATGGGCATACTTAATGATCAAAGAGTTGAGACAATTTGGGACTGTGAGACAGGTGGATGATGCTTTGAGTAGTTTCCTGGGGGACTCGAGAAGATGCATGAAAGGATCATCACACGCCTAGACGCTACTCTAGGTAGTGCTCATCGACAGCTGGCGACTAAGATCCTGACGTGGATAGTATGCGCTGTCAGACCTCTGCGGCTGGTGGAGCTCTAAGAGATCCTAAGTTTTGAGATCCGAGAAGGCAGGACAGCTGGTCAACCGCCAGTCAACAATGATGATCTTTTGTGCTCAGAGAAAGACATCGAACTAGTTTGTGGGGCGTTGGTGCTAAGCAGAAACGGTACTCTACAACTGATTCATCTGTCGAAAAAGGAGATTCTGATGAAAAGACCGTCCCAAATGCTTTCTGATGACTCGCGTCTCGTCTTCTACGTGGACGCACCAGGGGAGAACCCTCACATGGCTCTACTTTGTAAGTCCTCCTTAAGCACCCATCTGGATGGTATTGAACCCCTAACAAGACCCAACTTGGGGGCTGTATCGAGACTACAGATTACCAAAGATAGCTATGATTTGACAGACTTTGTCAAGAGGTCGCCATTCATCGACTACGCAAGTATCTCATGGCAGGCGCACTTGATAGACGGCAAAATCAGCCTCGAGTTCGAAAACATTATGCGTCGACTGCAGAAGTTGCTGACGTATGATTTGACGATTCTCTGTCGCGCTGCTGGAAGAATTGAAGAAGTAGCGATAGCTGGCCTCGAGGACTTGGTAATCGATGTCGTTTGGGCGGCTTTTCACCCCAGGCTACCTTTGCTCGTGTTGACGTGCATCACGTGCCGAAAGAGTGATGTAGGAGCCATTGCAAAGGCTGGAAAAGTGATAGAGATTGACCTAGAAGCGCTCAAATCTGTTCAGATTATCTTCCCGAAGCGCGGCCTTTTCATATCTAAAGAGTAAGTGTCCAAGGTGTTTCAAATCCCGTACGGGCACGTGCCGGCTGACATACGACCACGGAGAGGACTTTATGTCTACAAGGGCACAATTATCCCCTTGCGGTTCGTTCTGTTTCCTAATCAATGGCTTCCAGGGTGTTTCAATCCTGGATAGCATCTTCTTGGCGAAAAAGCAAGCAAAGATGCATGCACCCGCGGTATGCGGCTATGGAACATCTTACAACGGACGCTTCTACGAAGTAGGTTGGCTTGGTAGGACCACGATGGTGAACCTGTACCAAGCAATCGAGCGGCCAAATAAACGCGGTCTTCGTGATTCAATCAACATGCATCGACTGCCGAAGCACATAATTGCTGTTGCAATCACCGCATTTCCAATCCACGTCGCCCTTGCGACAGTCCATTTACAAGCGGGCGAAACTGGGGATGACCTGGTCCGTCTTTATTTGTATCTGCCGTATCTGTTACAAAAAGGACCCCCCGTGATCAAGAATCTTCGCGTGACCCTGAATCAGTTCCGGACCAAGTTGGAGAAAGCTGCAAGAGCTGCAGATGCAGATATAAATGAGCTCTTTCACGAGAGACTTGGTGAGACATCCGAGGCAGAGAGCAGCGGTATGGATTCCGAAGGGGCCGCAGTCTTTGCCGATGAAGATGAAAGTGGGTGGTTTGGGCTCTAATGTAGAAGGCCGCGGCGGAACTGAGTTGGAAGAGTCCGCAATTGCTGCAGATGAAGGTGAAAGGGGCGTGCGCACTTTGATTTAGATACAGTGTAGGGCATTAGGGCTGGAAACTAGATTTTGATAACGTTTCAGAGCAGAGGCGATAGTAATTTGGAAAGAGAGCTTGTAGACGTAGTCTGAGCTTTTCTTGCTGCGACAACACACTATACACTTTATCGACGACACTTCCTAATTCTTAAAATACCCCCGCCAGCAGGTGGAAACATTCTCCCGCTAACCGTGACGATCTTTCCACTATCCTACAAGAACATCCTCCCCTTCCCACACTCACCATCGACATCCGCTCCATTGCTCCAACCCCCCCCCCCCCTAAACGGTGCACAGGACGAACGCGCCCAGCTTCCCCGTGTTCGTCAACATGGTCGGGTCGTGCGTGATCATGCCGCAGTACGTGACCGAGTCGGCGCTGGCCGGCGCGAAGATGACCCGGTCCGGCTCCCTGGCGTTGTTGGGCCCCGTGGGCATTTTGGTGTTCTTGCTCGGCACCCACGGGTTGGCGCCGTAGCGGAGCACGGGGTACTCCCAGAGACTGGTGACGCCGGCGCAGTTGGGGAAGGTGAGGCTTTCGTAGTTGTTGTAGATGTGGGGGTAGGCGCTTGAGCCTGGATTGGGGGAGAAGGGGTTGGGTTAGTGGGGGGTTTGTGTTTAGGGGGTTTGGGTTTGGGGGAATGGGGGCATGGAATGGAATGAATGGGTTGGATGGGAGGGACTCTTACCCATTTGTGTGGGAGGACTGGTCGTTGCCCATGCAGTGCCTTGGTTTATGGCAGCGAGGATGGCGCTTTCCGCGACGCCGTAGCCGAGGCAGGTCACGGTTCCTTGAGGCGGTGTGATTGGGACTACTCGCTTGTCGAGGGCGGGGCTCGTGTCGACGGGGACGGGTATGGCGGAGGAGAAGACGCTGGGTGCCAGGCATAGGGTGAGGCCTGCGGCGATGAAGAACTGCATTCCGAAGACTGTGATTGTGTTGGGGGAAATGGTTGGGTGGATGTGTTTCTTGGAGTGTGGATGGAGGCGGTTTGGGTAGGGTAGATGTGAGATGTGAGATGCTCTGGTTTGATGGATGAGATTGGATGGATGTGATGGGATAGATTAGAGTCCGGAAGAGAGCGCGTTATATATCGTTCAGATCTCTCGGTGGCTCGAATGATCTTGAGGTGCTGATGTCCTGCAACATCTTCAAAAGTTACAAGGCGCAGCGATACGTCATGAGGATTCATATTCGTCTCGCAACAAATCATTAGAAACTAATCATCGATCCTGCAACGTACAACACAACATAGACACGTGGAAGTTGGTGAAGCTATGAGCATCATGTCGGAAGATATTACCATGTGGAAAGACGCAGCAAAAGCAAACAAACAACCCTGAGACAGTTGGTCACAATACCCGGATCTCCAACTTCACAACGATTATGACGAAGTACACCTCCCTGATATAAGTGTACGGCAGAATTGGTGGCGGGGGAATGATGAACCAACAACTCGGTTTCAGGACACCGAAGGAAGGTTGCCATATGCTTGGACCCTGACCATGTGCGGCCACACTCGGAGGATGAATCTTGACCGAGAAGGACGGCTCGTTTTCACTCAACGTCGATCAGATCTGGCACAGGTTTGACTGCTGAAGGTAGATTTGTAGTGACATAAGCGTCTGAGCCTTCGATGTACTAATACTCGCAAGTGGGTGCACGACGATGGAATGCTGTTGTTGATTGCAATACGCTCACGCTGCAGCGAATTCGGCACTTACCCGGGCCCCCTAATATGGTCACACCTTCTTGGAAGGCGAGGTTCCGCCACCGGCTTCGTATCACCCAGTTTAGAGGGAGTATTTTCATCATTCCATTTTTGTGTGTAAAGCAAAGAAGAAGAGGGGACTATTTCGGGCCCAAGCCGGTGGGTGCTCATTTGCCGCGCGGGAGGGCTTAGTCGGCGCACAGCGGTCTTGGCGATGTGGTTAATTGCTTGGCATAACAATATCAATTTCCATTCCAATTCGTTTCAAGTCTCGAGGTTATGTAGCCGTAGGATTCGCAGATATTGTTGGTTGGTCTTGATGGTTTTTGTTTGGAGTGCGATGGTGGGGACAGTTGGTCGATCGATTCAAAACTAGAGGATTGTCGATGGCGCAGCCCCGGGAATAATCCAGCCCCCAGTACAACAGTAGTGCCCCCGCCTGCTGTACATAGTGGATCTACCGAGGTACGATTGAGTGGCTTTGCTGTTGTTGCTGTAGAGAGCTGGGATTGGTTGTTGCGTCTACTGGGGGGAGTGAATGCAGATCAAATCTGCCCCGTACTGATGCCTGCCTTTGCACAGCCCCACTTTGGATTTCGCTTCCATTCCTCAACTTGGTCACTTCACTTCCCTACTTTCACAAAACCGCTGTTCATACTAACTGCCACCCCAGAATATTTCACAATCATCTTCCTCCATCACACACGCATTCTTTCCACCCGCTGCTCAATCGTCTCCAGCTATGTCTCCTACAGCCTATGATACCTGGCTAGTCGGTCTCAGAGAAGATAATGAGAGCATGCCCAGCATTGACGAACAACAAGCTTTCCTAGATTTTCTCAATCAAAAAACAACAGCAGAGGAAGCCGCATTGGCTTATACACATGGGGTGACCAACGCGAAGTACCAAGACCCAGATAGCCTGTGGCTCTTGCTCTGGCAAGCGGCCCAAGAATGGCCGGAAACTCACCAATGTCTTGTCGAATTGCTTAAAGCCATCTCGCATCTGCCGCCTATCACACGGGAAGGCAAAGTTGGCGAGAACCCCGAATTGGATTATTGGAGCGGACTGCCAGAATTCGAGTTTGGGCTGAGAGAGTATTGGGATGGTAAGGAAATTTTTGACACCAACCCTTTAAAAAAACGCATCTAAATTCTCTCTTAGGACAAGCAACTCGCGTCATCTACAATGCGGAACCCGACATACACTCTGGTTTCATCAATCTCACCTCGTTCAACGCCCGCCTTTTCCGCGACGAGGTCTTTCAGCTGGAGACCTGGGCCATAATGACACTGAGCATTGCTCTCGAGAAGGATTACGAAAGCCAATCGCATCTGCTTGACACATTCATCCCGGCAGCTGCTCAGTATATCCTGCAAACCGGCCCGGCTGTGTATAAATGCGACAAGGAAATCATCTTTGCTGGTCCGTTATTAGAAAAGGCAAGAGAGAAGGGCCCAGTTGAGCGATGGGGGTTCTGGAAGGAGAGGTTTGCGTCAGTGCAGAATCGAGAGCATCTGAAGGACAGCACTCGAGCTATGGGGAAGGAGGTGGCAGATCGTATGCAGAAGATTGAAAAGGACTCTCATTAGTTTCAATTGTCTATCGCACCGTTGGTACCGCTCTAGAATATGCCACTGCTTGTGTACTAGCTTGCTCTACTATGATTGTTGCACTCCTGCTCTGATCCAAACAACACTACACAAATTCTGCTGAGGCTCTGGTACGGACCATCTGAGTGTGTAATCGAATCAAAGAAGTCCGGCGTCTCCTAAAGCCGCATTCAATGAGATATGGCTTGGCTCTGATGACCAAGCGTAGTAAACTCCGGAAACGAATTCTAAGTGCCAGAATTCTCAGGAGCCAGAAGAACCAACTCACACAGTAACATGATGATCAAGCTGTTCGACATGCTTGGATATGATACAGTAGCGTGTGTGTGTGTGCGATTCCTGCTCGGAGGAAGGCTAAATGCCACGCTTAATCCTTCAGGAGGGAAGCCCCCACTCGGCATTACGACCATATTCGATTACGTACCACGTGGACTGAGCGTTTGTATGACGTATGATGACCCTTAGTTGAACATCTCCAAAATGAGCCCGGATCCTGAATGTTTCTGTTGTGCAATGTTGGCGGCAGTGATCTGAGGTGCGAAACTCGACACAGGGAGCTTACTGTTGTGTCCAACACTACTTGGACCTCGAACCCTGATCAAGGGTCTGAATGACATCAGTGATGTCAAGAAGGATCAGAGTAGAGATGGCCAAGAGAGAGAAGCAGACACACAGCACATACGTGAAACCCGTGGTTGGTCGACAGGCTTTCGAATCGCCAACGAACACTGCCCAGTTACACTTCAGCTACTGGGGCAAACGCAATTTTCTCACACGAATGATGCAATGTGGATTGATTTGCGGTCTGCGAAACACCCTCTTGTGCCGGGTTGTGGCGTACGAGGGTTGGTCGCTGGTCCTGAATGTCGTTACAACGAACTCACAACAACGAAGGGAAAAAGTCAGCTCCTTTTTGCAAGTTTCAGAGAAAAATGTGAACCGGCAGTGTCACAGTTGAATCCTACAATCGCTCGTGATAGACACAGCCAGCATCTTCAACAATCAAGACGTCATGGTTGTGCTCAAGGGTGCAGACAAAAGATATAAAAGAAGCCCGTCGAACCTCAGTTCAACAGACATAAACACATTCCACAGACTCACACTACAAGACGAACTATCTCACCGGAGCCATCAGATTCAAGGACCTCTATTTCAGCCGTTATTCATCTCAATAATTCATCTTTCAATCTCGTTTGATCATCAGAACATCACCCACGACAATCATGCATTCCTCGATCCTCACCATTCTTGCTGCTGGCAGCCTCTACCTGACCTCATCTTCAGCTGCACCCACCACCTCCCCACCGCCTGGCATCGGCGCAACCGTAAACCAACTCGACTCCAACGGCATGCTCCATTGGACTCCCGCAGCAAATGGCGGACGCACTACCACCATCGCCGCCGGACTCATCTCTCACGCCCATCAGCAACTGGCGGCCGGCAGCTCTCGAAAGCTGAAAGCCCGTGACGGCCCCAGCGCAGATGTCGGCGGCTGGACCACCCTCGGTCAGATCCAGGATTACGCCGCCTCGTACGCCTGCGAACAAGGCGGTGATTATGGCGTCAGCACGACCATCGCGACCCACATCACCGACGCCTGTACCGCTCTCCTGGCAACATTACCCGGCGCTCCCATTGCGGAAACCGCATGGCAAGTATACCAGTCGGCCGCTGGTGCGGGTGGCTCCGGTGGCTCCGTTGGCACTGTTTTCCGCTACTTTACGAACACGGCGAGCGCGCCTGCGCTCACGCAGACTATCTGTACCACCGCTTTCACGGACTTGACGAGTACTGCTTGTCAAGGAAAAGGGGATCATGGTGCGGATACGCGAGGTGGTGAGATTAAGATTGGTACTGGGAATGACTATCTCATGGTTGGTTTCGATCCGAACAGTGCTTAAGCTGTGGTGGACGTTTGACTTGAAAGCCTCATAGATTGCAGTGTTGAGGGAGATTGGACAAAAGGGGTTGTGGATGATGGCGCACTGTCTTATGTACGATGTATTTGTACGAGAAGAGCTGGTCGCGCTGGCTTTCGCGATCTGACTCCCTTTAACATGAGCTCAGAAGATAGACTGTACAATAGAAGTTTCGAGTTCGTTACGTTTCATGAGTCCCTGCCCATATTCACTGTCTTACCACTTGAAAGAACCAGGCACATGTGCGTCTCGTCTTTTGTTCACCCAGGCCGAATGATACCTACAGACCTGTAAACATGCCGCAATGCTTCATCCATCTACCTGAATGACGTATGTGCATGTATCCCAGAGCACAGTCGTATTCGCCCAAGTCAAGCTCTCTGCCAAACGTTGCGTCGCAGCAGCAGAGCAGACGGTGTGGTTCACGCCTCTAAAACGCAACTCCACTAAAGATAGGCGCCGTGACGCTAACGTTTGCGGGCTTGGTAGAAAGCACAACCTTACCACAGCCACAACTTTTGAAACAGCTGAGATATTTCACCAGAACAAATGCTCCGTCAAGAGACAGTCAATGCAGCAACTAAAACATGTAGAAAACACAATCCCATGCCGCAAAACGTGTCTCTTGGACTGAACGAGCTTTGTGTTTTGCACTTGCCAACACAAAGGGTTTTTCGTGGCGCTTGCCATGATGGTTGCCGCCCGCCAGGCCAGAAGGATTCTTTGGGGGTACAACCGCGGAATCCTTTCGATCCATCTTTGGATTTCCTGTTTCAAAGTTTCCAGCTGTGGGAGAGGCGAAGCTTTCAACCTCTGTGTTGCATCCAATCTGTTAGCTGTCCCCACCCGGTGGGCGAAGGAAGGCAACATCTTTCTTGTTCCATCTATAGTCCTGCAGTGTTATTTGCTCCTCTACATGCTCGTACCATAGTGGGTGCACCTTTCCGGTGGCAGAGAAGGTTGGTTGTTACCCCACTCACTTGGTGCCACGGTCTTTGCGCGTCAAAGGAGCCTTTACAAAGCCTTTTCCTCCGTCTATGAAGTCATCGACTTCCTATTCGAACCCTCATGGGGGTTCGGGCGATCAAATCCGATCGAACATCTTAGATGTAGGTTACAGATCCTGAACCACCAACACTCTCAGGCTGAGCCTTGTCGCCGGTGAACCTGCTGCGTCTCACAGTTGAAGTTGTTCTGTTGCTTCAGAAATGACGATCTTTTCGGCGCAGTCTTTCTCAGCGTGTAGTCTTGTCAATATGTTTCCTGTTACAGCCTTTCGCGAGGCTGATCTCCTTCAAAGTCTTCAGGGAATTTATAACGTTCTTCCCCGTTCTCTTTTTTTAACGTTGCCCATCTTGATTTCCTGGTATCGTTCCCTCAATGCCATTAGTTGAGTAATTCATTACAAGAAAATCCCATCGTCTTTTCATACTGGCACGTCATGAACAGTCTACGGGCGGCCAAAATGTTTTTCGTCAACAGAACACCAGATGAACGACAACGTCTGGGCTCTAGTGGCTATGGCGACAAAGGGGAAGGAAATTACCCTTCAGATATTAGCGAGACATCTGGAGACAGCCTCGAAGCAGGCTTCGTCAAACCAGGAAAAGTTAAGAAGCCTGGCTTGGGTAGAAGATTCACGGAATATGCTCGCGGACGGAAGACCTTTTTTGTCGACTGGAGCTCCGCTCAGCCTCGAAGCGTCTGGGCTATCATAACATTGGCGGTCCTAGGGACTGTCGTCATCCTGTACGTTCATCCTCCTGCTCTTTTTTCATTAGCGACTCGTAAAGGAAAGGATGGCTAAAACCCGACAGTGTCCTAACTGCTCTATTGATATATTTCAATATCCATCTGCGAAGACAGATCCCCCGCAACGACATACAAAGGATTGTCGCTTCATGGGGAGCGCCGGGCTCTCCGACGCAAGCAGAAGCCCATTACCCCACGGACTTCAGCCGAGACATCACTCCAATCCCTTGCCATTCACACAATGACTACTGGCGCAAAGTGCCTCTATATGACGCGCTCGCGGCTGGATGTACGGGCGTAGAGGCCGATGTCTGGCTCACTGACGACGATCTCCTCGTTGGTCATTCAGCTGGCTCCCTAACATCCGCACGCTCTTTAACATCTCTCTACATCAATCCTTTAATATCAATCCTGGCCCATCAGAACCCGCCTCTCACATTCCAAAATACCACCACGGCTATCCCTGAATCCAACTCAACCACCAGCAGCGCTTCTATCAACGGAGTCTTCGAAACCAATCCAGCAACTTCGCTCACCCTGCTCATCGACGTCAAAACAAACGGCACAGCCACCCTACCAGTCGTGCTCCAGCAGCTCGAACCCCTCCGATCCCGGGGTTACCTAACATACTTCAACGGCACCGCCGTCATCCCCGGCCCCATCACCGTCGTCGGCTCCGGCAACACCCCGTTCGACCTGCTCACCTCCAACACCACCTACCGCGACGTCTTCTTCGACGCGCCGCTGGACCAGCTCTGGGGCGAAACCGCCCCCGCCAACGCCTCGCTCTACACCTCGGACAACTCCTACTACGCGAGCGTGGACTTTGCGGCCGCGGTCGGGAAGCCGTGGCACGGCAGTTTGGAGCCGCAGCAGGTGGATACGATCTTGGGGCAGGCGGGCGCGGCGGCGGCGAGGGGCTTGAAGGCGCGGTATTGGAACACGCCGGCTTGGCCGGTGGGCGTGAGGGATCATGTTTGGGACGTGCTGGAGAAGGAGGGCGTGGGGATGCTGAATGTGGATGATTTGGAGAGTGCCAGTCGGCGGAATTGGGGGGGTTGA